CTCACGCCGGTCCCTGTATTCCCCAAGGGAAGGTGCCAGCCAGCAGCATCCTGGCCAGCGCTCCCTCGGACAAAAACCTGGATGCCTGGCGGGTGAGTGGGGCTGTGGTGTGACAAGCCACCCTGCTCAGTGGCCATGGTGGTGGGAGGCATGTTGGGATGCCCCTTGCCACGATTTTGGGGCAGCCTTTCTCCCCGCACAGGGGTTTGGCTCATCCTTCCTACGTCTGGGTGAAATCCAGGCAGAGCCTTGGTGGCTTCACAGCCAGAACGCGCTCCCCAAGCCGTGTCCCCACATGCGAAAGTGCCTTGCCTGTGAGAGTGCTGGGGTTGGGGAGTGCCAGGCTGTGACACCTCTCCCTGCCCGTGGGCAGGAATCGGGCTGCCGGACCACGCACTGCAACCTGGAGGTGCTGCAGGAGAGCACCCTGGTCTTCCTGGCCACCAAACCCCACATCCTGCCAGGCGTCCTGCAGGAGATCCGTCCTGCCGTGGGACCCCACCACATCATTGTCTCGCTGGCGGCCGGTGTCACCCTCCAGACACTGCAGCGGGTGAGCTTCCTCCTCCTCCTCCTTTTCCTCCCATTTGTACCCAGGCCTGTGGAGAAGGACACACCGCTGTGGCTCTGTCCCCACCCAGGTTGCATCCCCAGGTCTTTCCCCATGGACCATACTTCTCCGCCAGCCTCAATGGGTGATACCCACTGGAGTCTCGGGGCACCCTTGGGTGCTGCCCAGAGCTAGCACCCCTCTCCCATCCCCATCTTTCCCCAGCTTCTCCCTGCCAGGACCAAGGTGCTGCGGCTCATGCCCACCCTGCCGTGCGTGGTACAGGCAGGGGCGATGGTCTTCGCCCGGGGCAGCAGTGCCGGGGATGGGGAAGCCGCCCTGCTGAAGAGCCTGCTGTCCTCCTGCGGGCTCTGTGAGGAGGTCCCCGAATCCCACATCAACATCCACACCGGACTCAGCGGCAGTGGGGTGGCCTACGTAAGCACCCATGCTAGGCGGGCACCAGCTCACTGGTGGGATGTGGGATGCCGGCAGAAATCCCACCCATGCGAGGTTGGGGTTTGGGGTCCCCCTTTTTGCCACGCTCACCCCTGATGCTCTTCTCTCCCAGGTCTACCTGTTTGCCGAAGCCTTGGCCGAAGGAGCGGTGAAGATGGGCATGCCGGGTGGCTTAGCCAGCAGGATCGCAGCTCAGACGCTGCTGGTGAGTCGGTGCTGTCGCTCAGGGACACCTGGCATCTCCCTCCTGCCCCGCAGCTCCCACCCAGCTTAGGCACCCGGTCACCATCGCTGCCCTGGGCTCTGCAGCACTCAACAGGGTGGCAGAGCGAGGGAGGATGTGCTGAATGGCCTCCTGCCTCAGCTTCTCCTCTTGAAACTGAAGATGAGGACACCAGAAGACAGCGACGGGCATGATCGTGGGACCGGTGCTTTGGCACCTTGTCCCCCACCGCAGGGCGTGGGTGATGGGAGGATGCTGCCATCCCATTCCTGGGTAAAGAGAGGGGGCTGTTTGGGAGGTCCCCTTCTCTCTGACCTACCCTGGTCTCCCATAGGGTGCAGCGAAGATGATGCTGGAGACGGGGGAGCACCCGGCGAAGCTGCGGGGGGATGTCTGCACGCCCGGGGGTACCACCATCCACGGGCTACACCAGCTGGAGAAGGGCGCACTGCGGGCCACCGTCATGAACGCTGTGGAGGCGGCCACCAACCGGGCATGCGACATGGCTGAGGACTAGTGGCCTGGCTGGGGATGAACCCCTCTGTCCCATTCCCCATGGGGCAGGAGGGGCGATGGGGACCAGACCAAACCCCTTCAAGGAGCAGGGGTACCCTGACATCCCCAGGAGACCCTGGCTGGGGGTGGGAGATGGTGTAAATTCGTGTCCATGCCACGTGCTACCTCTGCAGGGCTGGGACCGAATAAACATGGGCAGCACAACGGCAGGTTTGGCTCTTTCTGGTCCCTTCAGTCCTGCGGGGCTACTGCACCCAGCACAGGGTCACCTCCATGGGTAGGTGACAGCTGTGGGCCCCTGGGCCAGCAGGGATGGAGCTGATGCCACACTGGCTCTACGCTCACTGGTGCTGTGCCGGGATGTGTGACACTGGGGACAGGGATGGGGATGGAGTTTTGGGGACAGGCTGATCCCAAATAAAGCCTGCTGGGGCTGGGCAGAGTGACTGCAGCCGGAGGCGAGGACTGTCACAGGTGCTATGAGGATGCCAAGGGACCTTGGGAAGTGGGGGGCTGGCGGGATGATGCTCTGGGGTTGAGCACAGAGAGAGGCTTTGATTTCCCAACTCGATGCCGAGCAGGAGTGCTCAGGGCTTGGGTTGCACGTGGGCACCGATGCCTGCTCCTCTGTGGAGATGCATGCATGAACAAGGAGCTGCTATCCGCATCCCAGAACCACAGGCGAGAAGTCAACCAGCTGAAAAATCTCCACCTCGCAACCCAGCCAGGCACCAGCGTTGCACCACGGTCCTGCAGACGGGTCTTGCTCCGGCAGCGAGGCAGCGGGATGGAAGCCCAGACCCGCTCTCAGCCCCAGGGTGCCGCACATCAAGGGATTAGAAACTCAAAGCTTGTCTATCTGGAGAGGATCTGAGCCTTTTGCATGCCCTAATTAAGCTTTGTTTGCCTCCCAGCACCTGCACAGATGCAATTAGTGATGATTTGTGAACCACTTTGAAGATGAAAGGCTTTTTCTGGGCAAAACGTCGCTGGTAAAACAGCTGGATGCTAAGCCTCCGGTTCCTATGGCTTTGACCCCATCCCCAAGGATGCCGTCACCGCACATGCCAGCGGCACCAAGCCAAGAGAGATGATGCAGCCCTACAGCACTGTCAGGTCACGCCAAAGCATGACCTCCCTGGGCACATTCTCAAGGCACCTAATTAATTAGCAAAGCTGCACAAAAGCTGGAGACAGAGCTTGAGCCTGCCCATCTCTACATTTCGCCATGTAGCCAGGGAAGGGGCTCATGGCACCTACATGGTGCAAGGAAGCAGTGGTCCTCAAGGTTTCCAAGCCACCTGGTAGCTCCTTGTCTTTCTTCTGCCTGCTTTTATCCCTGCTCTGTGCCCAGGTCCTCCCCATGGTGATTCTGCCAATCTGTCCAAAATATGCAGCCTTCTGATTTCATTCTTGGGCGTCTCCATCTCTTCTGTGTCCTCCACACCACTCTGACATATCTGGCCAGAAAGCCTGGGCCAAATCCAGCCCCACCGCTCGTGATGCTACTGACTCCAGCCCCTGCCCATTCCCCATCTCCATGTGTCCTCCTAAAGGCTTTTGAGTTTTGTGTTTTCAGGTTGTCTTTCAGAGAAGCGGCACGTTCAACCCCAAAGCCAGGATGCTGATGACCTTCATTGTTTTGCTAAATGCTAGTTTTAACAAAACTGGCTTAAATTCCATGAATTTTATTAAAAAAGCCAGCACTCGCTGCAAGTGAACTTGCAAAGTTCTGTAAATTGTTATTGTATAATTGTTGTAAATTATTGCTACTCCCTTCCTGCTAGTACTCCTGTCTTCAAGAAAGGCGTCTCGTCCTGTCTGGTGAGATCATAGAGCAGAGCCTCCTGGAAGGCATGTTGAAACAGGGAGGCAATGAGAGACCATGGCTTCACCACAGGCAAATCATGCCTGACAAAGGCAGTGGCCTTATACGATGGAGTGACTGCGTTGGTGAACAAGGCTACAGGTCATCTACCTAGACTTCTCTAAGGCCTTTGATACGGTCCCATACAATGTTCCTGCCGCTAAATTGGAGAGATGTGGGTTTGATGAGTGGACTATTAGATGGATCAGGAATGGATGGCCATATACAAAGGGTTACAGTCAGTGGCTCAATGTCCAAGTGGAAACCAGCAATGATTTGTGTCCCCCCAAGTGTCCATACTGGAACCAATAATATTAAATATCTTAATCAATGACATAGTGGGATCAAGCGCACCCTCAGCAAGTTTGCAGATGACACCAAGCTGAGTGGAGCGGGTGACACACCTGAGGGACAGAATGCCAACAAGCTCAAGGAATGGGCTCATGCAAAGCTCATAAAGTTCAACAAGGCCAAGTGCAGGGTCCTGCACCCAGGTCAGGGCAACCCCCAGTATCAGCACAGGCTGGGGGATGAAGGGATGGAGAGCAGCCCTGCTGAGAGGGACTCGGGGGTCGGGGGGGATGAAAACCTGGACAGGAGCCGGCAACTTGCGCTCGCAGCCCAAAGGCCAACCGTGTCCTGGGCTGCCCCCAAAGCCGTGTGGTCAGCAGGGCGAGGGAGGGGATTCTGCCCCTCTGCCC